TCAGCGACTCCACGTCGACGCGCGTGGCTGGCCCCCTCAGCTTCAGGCACCCTTCGACGAAATCCTCGAGGGTAACACGGCCCGATTTTGCCGCGTCGAGGATCTTGAACAGCTTCCACGCCTGCTTCGCGTCAATCTCGAGGGCTGAAGCAGAGGCCGCACTGCAGCCCAGCACAGGGATAAGGTACCGTTCGGGAGATACCCCGCTCTGGGGCGCCTCATGCTACTTGCGCTCACCAGAGTTTACCATTTGCTTTACCATCCGTCGCATCATCATCGCCGTCACCCTCATTATTCCTCATTAGATGTTTTCTTATTCTTGTCGCCCTAGCCTCCTCCCCCTCACCACCACCATCATGATCATGATAATGATCACCATCAGGAGCATCGTCGTCATGATCATGATCATGATCATGATCATCATCACCCCCGTCCCCATCATCATCATCATCATCATCATCATCATCATCAGCATCATCATCATCATCATCATCATCATCATCATCATCATCATCATCATCAGCATCATCATCACCACCACCACCATCATCGTCATGATCACCACCATCATCATCATCAGCATCATCATTACCATCATCGTCATCACCTTCGGCATCATCATCATCAGCAGCAGCCGCATCAACATCACCACCATCCTCACCATCGTCATCATGACCATAATCATGAGCAGCAGCAACACAACCATCACACCAACATCACTCTCACCATCAGCAGCAATACCCACATCAGCATCAGCACCATCCTCGCCATCAAGGTAACCATCACCATCAGCAGCATCATCACCATCACCAACATTATCCTCATTATCATCCTCGTCGTCCTCGTCACCATCATCATCATCATCATCACCATCATCATCATCATCACCACCACCACCACCACCACCACCACCACCATCATCATCATCATCATCATCATCACCACCACCACCACCATATCATCATCATCATCATCTTCATCATCATCATCATCATCATCTCATCATCATCATCATTCATCATCCACCATCTTCAGCAGAATCATTCAGCATACACGACAGGCAGCAACATCAGCACACATCAGCATCACCAAACACGATCACACTGGCCCATTTTCCTGATTCGCACCGGCACCATCACCTGTCACCTTGTCGTCCCCCTCATCTCCTCCTCCTCCTCCTCCTCCTCCTCCTCCTCCTCCTCCTCCCCCTTCTCCCTCCTCCTCCTCTCCTCCTTCTCCTCTCCTCCTCCTCATCCTCTCTGCTCTCTCCTCCTCCTCACCTCCTCTCCTCTCCTCCTCCTCCTCCTCCTCCTCCTTCCCCCCCCCGCATAAGCCGGGGGCCCGGTGAGCACACCGGGACGGTCGGGGAACCCAAAGTGGTCGACTGCCGACTGTATCGGCGGGATACAAATAGAGCCGGGGACTAGCCGGAGAAGGCGGAGGGCGGCGGGGGGGCTTGGGCGCCCAGGCCCCCTGGGGGTCCCTCCCCTAGGTGGGGGTGGGGTACTGGGTGGGGCGGGCTCGGGATGCCCCCCGTTGCCAGGCCCCCCTGGCGCGGGGTCCCTGGGCCCGTCCTACTCGGTGTCCCTCCTCCTCCTGGGGTCCCCCTCGGGGGGCGGGCTGGCGCGGGCTCCCTCGGGCCTGCGACGCATGCCCGCACTGCGGCGCGGCGGCACCCATCGCCAGTTCCGAGGGCGCGATGGGTGCAGGAGGCGGGGGCCCGACTGCTGTCGCGCGGGGCCCCTGGCCCCCAGGGCGGTGCGCCGCATGGCGCTTCCGGTGCGGCCTGCACCGCCCCGGGGTCTTTGTGGCCTTGGCTGCCCTGCTAGTGGGGGCTACTTGGGCCGCTGGGGGGGCTCCCGCGGCGCGGGGCCCTCAAATCTTTGGTGTTGTTTTTCGACGAGGGTGGCCCAGGCCCGTCGCCTCTGGTTGCCTTTTGTCTCAGGAGCCATTGTTCTCATGGAGATTTGGCTGGCCTGCTCTGAATAGTTCTGAATAGTTCCTCCTCCTCCTCCTCCTCCTCCTCCTCCTCCTCCTCCTCCTCCTCCTCCTCCCTCTCGCTGCCATCCTGCCATCCTCCTCCCCTCCCCTTGGCACCCCCCAGCCGCCTCGAAGGGCCTCGCACGGTGGCCTCGCTTCCCGTGCTCTCCAGAGATTTCCGTCCTGAGGAGGGCGAGGAACCGCTGCCTGCACTTATGGCTGCTGCTCCCCCTGCTGCTGCAGCCAGAACATCGCATCATGCTCCTCCTCCTGCTCCTGCTCCTCCTCCTCCTGCTGCTGCGCCTCCTCCTCCTCCTCCTCTTCCTCCTACTCCTCCTCCTCCTCCTCCTCCGCTCCTCCTGCCTTCCCTCCTCCCTCCCTTCTCTCCTCCTCTTCCTCCTCCTCCTCCTCCTCCTCCTCCTCCTCCTCGTCCTCCTCCTCCTCCCCTTCCTTCTCCTCCACCGCCTCCACCTCCACCTCTGCCTCCACCTCCTCCCTTCTCTTCCTCGTCCTCCTTCCCTCTTCCCCCCTCTGTCCTTTGATCCTTTGACCCGACGCCACGATTCGGCAATCGAGGGTTATATGCGTCCGCGCCAGACCCCAGTGTGGCCTCTGCTGATTTGAACCATGACTGTACTTTCGGTTTTGCCAGCTGAAAGTGGATCTCAGCTGCTGTCAACCCTTCGCTCAGATCGGAAGACTCGGTCATCTCCTCGAAGAGTAACCTCAGGCGGTCCGCGTACACCTGCTTTTCCCTGAGCTGAGTCTCGATGGTTAGCTCCAGGTCTTGTTGGGCCCCCTCGATTGCGTTCTGACAGAATCCGCCACTGTGCCCTATGCACTGAGGGAATGTCCTCTGCTGCTCCCGAATCTCTGTACGGTCGGACCCAGAACATCCTTCAAGAACATGAAAACTTTCGCCGGCCCAAACTAAAGAACATTCGAGGATACCCTCCACAGATACGCACAATAAACATTTTAACAACCAGTCAGAACATCAGGGTGCCCTTCCCGAACCGACCTCGATCTTATACTTCGGTCCGACCGTAGTCAATACTCTCAGTACTTGAACAAAGCCCAGGCCCCTAAGTCATGAATTGCCTGGGGTGGCTCGCATGTCTTCTAGGGTGCACCTCACGATCTCACCCGAGGCCGAGCAGCCCCACGATAGAATTGAGAGGGCCCCGTGGGTGCGCCCAGTAGTAGAAAACGAGGGTTACATCGGTATAATGTAGGTGTCGGTGGTGGCGGCGTGAGGGAACACGTAGGGCATACTTCTCTCCCACACACACACACACACCGCCGCAGATAGCGCCCAGTCAACGGATGCATAACTGCAACGGAGTGGTGCGCCTGTGCCTTGAGCCAAGACAGGGGCTGGCAGATAGCAAGTCTTACGTCTCCCCTCGGAGCCTCCCCTCAAAGTCAAGACGGTCCATCAGGCCCTGAGCCGGCCCCAGAGCCCCAGAGAGCCCGAAAATGCCTTCATACGGCCCAAGAGGCCACACACGAGGACACAATCACTGATGTTGCTCAGGTGATTGAGTGCTTTTGGCGGTCTCGCCTTTTCGGGTTCCCAACGCTCCCAGACGGCACAAGAGACCCCGAAGATCGCACCAAGAGGCTCCCAGGACGGCCCAAGATGCCTTCAAGGGGCACCGAAGGAGGCCCAAAAGTGGGCGAGCGAATGTGCCTTGAGTACGTTTCCCAATCAGTGTTTGCCCTTAGGGCCTCTTGTTTGCTTCCTGAAGAACTGGGCCTGCGTGTTGGCCCAGCGGCTATGTCGCCGCCGTCGCCGCCTCGTCGCCTCCTCGTCGCCGCCAGGCCCCTGGGCCTGAGTGGGGCGGGTCGGGTCGGGCGGCCGGGCGGACCCTAACGGGCGGGTCTGGCCCATCCACGAGCGAGCCCGCGAGAACCCGAAAGGGCGGGTCGGGTCGGGCGGGTGGGCCGTGCCGGGCGGGTCGGGTCGGGCGGATCCTATCGGGCGGCCATGACGCCCGCCCCGTCGCCGCATGTCGTCTGGGCCTGAATGTCGGTCTGGCGGTTCCATTGCCGCCATCGCCGCCCCGTCGCCGCCCCGTCGCCCCCTAGATCCTCCTTCAAAAAAATGGGTATACCCCTTTCCCTCTTCTTCGCGCTACCTCCTGAAATAGTCAACATTAGCACGATTATGCCCCGTAGCCTGTCCTGGATCTGAATTCGTAGCATCCCAAGCCAAACTGCATCGCCCAGCTCACATCCCTGTCAAATAATACTATGCGCTCGCACCCGCTTATCAAGCATGCTCAATAATCCATCGCAAAAAAAAACGGGACACAACCAACACGCGCGCATTGTCGCGGGCGCATGCCGAAATCTTACACAAACCTCAAGTTGCGTAGAGATTTTACCGAAACCATATAAGAAACACAGCGTAGCTGCTCGACAACAATATGCGCGCTTTTGCGAAGACGCCTTCACGGCCTCCTGAGGGCCCATGAGGCCTGCAAAACCATGAAGGGACCGCACCGAACCGAGAACCGAGAACCGTGACCGAACCGGACCGAACCGGTCCAAAACCAGGTACGTAGAAAACCGAACCGGACCGAACCGAATTCATTCAGAACCGAACCGGCGAAGACCGAACCGAACCAGTACCGGAACCGAACCGGAACCGGGCGGCCCCTGAACCGAACCGACGGGAACCGAACCGAACCCCTTTCCCCTCTGGTCCGGACCCCAGGACCCCGATGACCCCCAGGACTCCGGGACCCCGATGACCCCAGAACCTCCCGAAGATTCCCACGACCCCTCCTCCTCTTCCTCCTTCTCCTCCTCCTCCTCCTCCTCCGTTTCCTCCTCCTCCTCCGCTTCCTCCTCCTCTTCTCCTTCTCCTTCCTCTCCTCCTCCTCCTCCTCCTCCTCCTCCTCTCCTCCTCCTCCTCCTCCTCCTCCTCGTCCTCCTCCCCCCCCTCCCTTTCTCCCTCCCCCTCCTCCTCCTCCTCATCCCCCTCCTCCTCCTCCCCCCGGGGTCCTTGGCAAGGACCCCCGGGGCCCCGGGGCCCCAGGCCCCAGGCCCAGGACCCCAGGACCCCCAGACCGCGGGACCCCGGGACCCAAGGACCCCCGGGACCCCGTTGGAGTCCGCCGAATCCAGCACCTGGCTGGCGGGCGCGCGACGACGACGACGACGACGACGACGACGACGACGACGACGACGACGACGACGACGACGGTCCGCTCAAAATCGGTCCCAGAACCTTTCCTCTTGGAATCAATTCCAGCCTGGTGTCAGCAGGCGTGCCCTGTCGGGCCCCCGAAGCCCCCGCGGGGGGCAAAAGCAGGCAAACCAAACAAAAAACACTGTCGGACCGACGACGACCGACGACGGCGGCGGCGTCGGCGGGCGCGGGCGTCGGCAAGCGTCCGTTGTCGTCGTCGTCGTCGCCGTCGTCGGGGGGCCGCGGGGGAGCCCCGGGGGGGCCCCTGGCGACCCTCCTGGCAGCCCCCCTGGCGACCCCCCTGGCGACCCGCGACGGCGACGGCGACGGCGGCGGCGACGGCGGCGGCGGCGGCGGCGACAGCGACAGCGACTTCGACCCCCCTCGCGGGTGCGACTTCGACCCCCCTCGCGACCCCCCTGGCGGGCGCGACCCCCCCCCCCTCGCGGGCAACCCCCCTGCGACCCCCCTGGCGGGCGCGACCCCCCTCGCGGGTGCAACCCCCCTGGCGGGTGCAACCCCCCTGGCGGGTGCAACCCCCCTGGCGGGCGGGTGCAACCCCCCTGGCGGGCGCAACCCCCCTGGCGGGTGCAACCCCCCTGGCGGGCGCAACCCCCCTGGCGGGTGCAACCCCCCTGGCGGGTGCAACCCCCCTGGCGGGCGCAACCCCCCTGGCGGGTGCACCCCCCCTGGCGGGCGCAACCCCCCTGGCGGGCGCAACCCCCCTGGCGGGTGCAACCCCCCTGGCGGGCGCAACCCCCCTGGCGGGTGCAACCCCCCTGGCGGGCGCAACCCCCCTGGCGGGCGCAACCCCCCTGGCGGGTGCAACCCCCCTGGCGGGTGCAACCCCCCTGGCGGGCGCAACCCCCCTGGCGGGTGCAACCCCCCTGGCGGGCGCAACCCCCCTGGCGGGCGCAACCCCCCTGGCGGGTGCAACCCCCCTGGCGGGCGCGACCCCCCTGGCGGGTGCAACCCCCCTGGCGGGCGCAACCCCCCTGGCGGCCCCCCTGGCGGGTGCACCCCCCTGGCGGGCCCCCTGGCGGGCGCAACCCCCTGGCGGGTGGACCCCCTCTGGCGGGTGCAACCCCCCTGGAGGCGCGACCCCCATGGCGGGCGCGACCCCCCTGGCGGGTGCAACCCCCTGGCGGGCGCGACCCCTGGCGGGCGCGACCCCCCTCGCGGGCGCGACCCCCCTGGCGGGTGCGACCCCCCGGCGGGTGCGACCCCCCTGGCTGGCGGGCGCGACCCCTCTGGCGGGCGCGACCCCCCTGGCGGGTGCGACCCCCCTGGCGGGCGCACCCCCCCTGGCGGGCGCGACCCCCCTGGCGGGTGCACCCCCCCTGGCGGGTTGCGACCCCCCTGGCGGGCTGCGACCCCCCTGGCGGGCGCGACCCCCCTGGCGGGTGCAACCCCCCTCGCGGGCGCGACCCCCATGGCGGGCGCGACCCCCCTGGCGGGCGCGACCCCCCTGGCGGGTGCGACCCCCCTCGGGGCTGCGACCCCCCTCGGGGCTGCGACCCCCCTCGGGGCGAGGGCCTCGCGCCTCCACGCCTCCACGTTTCTCCTCCTCCTCCTCCTCCTTCTCCTCCTCGTCGTCCTCCTCCTCCCTCCTCCGCCTCCGCCTCCGCCTCCTCCTCCTCCTCCTCCGCCTCCTCCTCCTCCTCCTCCTCCTCCTCCTCCTCCTCCTCCTCCTCCTCACCCCTCCCTTTTTTTCAAACTGGGTCGTCGCTTACGCAGACGGGGCGCCCAACGTCGCACCTGACCAGTCGGGCCGAACCGAACCGGAGCGGCCACTCGAACCGAACCGAACCGGTCGGACCCAACCGCGCGAAAACCGGAACCGAACCGAACCGGCGGCAGGGCCAAGCCGAACCGGCCGAAACCGGACCGATGCCAAACCGAACCGGTCAAGCAAAACCGACCCGGCTGCAGAACCGGACCGAACCGAACCGAGCCGATCCCTTCATGCAAAACGCCCCAAGAGGCCTCTGCTCCCAAGAAGGCACCGAGAAACAAAATTCAGCAATTGCCCTCAAATGTTTGAAAGATGTTGGCGTTCTCGCCCCTTCCGCTTCCCGACGCTCTAAGACGGCCCCAGGGGCCCCCCAAATTGCTCCAAGACGGCCCACAGACCTCCAAGTGGTTCCCAGCATGGCCCAAGAGGGCCCCAAGACGGCCCGTGACGCCTCCAAGGCAGGCCAAGAGGCACCCAAGACGGCTCAGACGGGGGACCCGAACGGACATCTCAAGCCCACGCCCCCGAGAAGCTCTCAGGAGGCCCCTATGAGGCCTCGAAGACGCTCCCAGGAAGCACGCAGGAAGCCCCCTGGAGGCTCCCAAGAGTCTCCCAACACGCCCCAAAACTGCCCACCGGAGACCCCGAAAGCGCTCCGAAGAGACCCCGGCAAGCTTCCCTCCGCCCCCAGTTCCTCACCTTCCTCCTCCTGTTCCTCCGCCTCGTTATCGTCCTCCTCCACCTGCTCATTGCCCTTCTTGACCTCGTTCTGCCGAAACTACCCCTCCTCATCCTCCCTCCGCATGCTCTTCTTCATCCTCCCCCTCCAGCTCCACGGCGTCCTCCTCCTCCTCCTCCTCCTCCTCCTCTTCCTCCTGTTCCTCTTGCTATTC